GGGAATACAGTTTCTGCATAACAATATTCACTGGGAGAAACCCACTCACCCCAGCTCATTTGCTCAAAGAAGCAAAGTTGACTGAATCGTTAATCTCATTTACTTTACAAGTTGTTTATGTAAACAGATGAAAATGCCAAGTGCATCTCAAAGTCCAACACAAGTGCTATGAATGTAATAATGGGAGGAAGTCGGTGAGGCACAGTAGGAATTTTGGCCATTGTCCTCGGAGGGAAAGCTTTAAGAAAAAAATATAGTCCAGCATGTAGTTCATATTTGCTTGTACTTTCCTGTTTTTCTTAAAGGAACTCTTCCCAATGTTTCATTCATCTCTCAATGATTTCTAGGATGAATGCTTCCCAATGCTTCCATGGGATGGAGTCTTTTAGATATTGAAACAACCATCACTCATTAGGTAGAGCATCTGTATTTTTTCTTTTTAGCTATTGATAGCCTCTTAATAAACAACCGAGTATTTGCCTTGCAAGTTCACCTCTCTGAAAATACAAAATCAGTACCACCCAAAAGCTGACCCTCTAAAAAGCTTTGTATGGCTTGTCTCAGTTTCGGTTCTTACAAGGGTATTTCTTAGATCACATGATCTCACACATCTAGAGGAAACGATGAACAACATAGACTGATGAACAAAAACAGACCCAGAGAAAGAGAAGCACCGAACAGACTCTCAAACCGCAGAGGGAAAGTAGGGGAGGGTGGGGTAAGGGGAAGAGATCAACCAAAGGACTTGTGTGCATGCATATGGGCCTGGCCAGTGGCCATGGACAACAGGGTTGAGAGGGCATATGTAGGGAGGGATTTGGGATGGGATTGGGGGGAATGAGAACAATTATGTGATATCATAGTCAATTAAAAAAATTATAAAGAACTAAATTGAAAAAAAAAAATGTATTGTCAAGTTGTCAGAGCCTTGCTTAATAGTGATTGCCTTGGGAGTCAAAGAAGGAAAAAACCAATGGCTTTTATAAAGCCATATGTTACTAAGGTACCAGGAAGTGCCAGGAACCCTGATAAAAACTTTCAAGTTCGGAAACAAGTGTGACACTGGATTGTTTAAGAAGATTTACTTCAACATTCAAGAAGATATTTTGATTTCTATGGAGACATTTAAAAGAAATTATTTCAAAGAGGGCTTATATTTACTAAAACAAATAACTAAATTTTTATCACTCTCCTTATATACTTAAATACAATATTTTATAGTTAAGTGGGTTCAAATTAGGGACCAGGATAAATAATTGCAGTGTTTCTAAATGCAACACTTTTCACGTTTTATTTTTCCACTCTTGAACTTTAAATTATGCTCTTTGTGACTGAAGAGAGACCTTTAAAACTGATTTGATCTCATATAAAACTGTCCATCAAGTTTGTCCTTTCTTAAAAGAAAAGAAAATGTTTCATTTAAGACAATTATAGCTTGCTGAAACCGGTTTGGCTCAGTGGATAGAGAGTCAGCCTGAGGACTGGAAGGTCCCAGGTTGGATTCAGGTCAAGGGCATGTACCTTGGTTGCGGGCACATCCCAAGTAGGGGGTGTGCAGGAGGCAGCTGATCGATGTTTCTCTCTCATCAATGTTTCTAGCTTTCTATCCTTCTCCCTTCCACTCTGTAAAAACTCAGAGTGGAAGGGAGAAGGATAGTGATGTTTATGAAAGGTTTTATTTAATTATATCCCAATATGAGGATTTTAGAAGTAAATGATATCCCATTGTCCAAATGCTTCTATTTAGTCTTGAAAATCTCTTATCATTTATTCTCTCTCTGTGAACCAGTCTTTGCTACTTACACAGAAAAGAGGTGAAGAAATAACCATTATATACCCAATTTCCCAGATCAGAGTATCTAAGAATTATGCAGTGAAGTGGGCCTGTTACCTGCATTTTTCCCTAATTAAGGTTAATGAAAGCCTATAAAATCATTACACTAAACATTTAAGCCAAATTTAAATAATACAACCCCCAGAGGTATGAAGGAACACTTTGCATCTGTTCAGCATCCTAATAAATTCATTTCTAATTTAAGTACATTTGCAACAAGGGCATTGTCTGCGAAGTACATTACAATTTAGGGACTTAAAAAACTTCTATTAAGCAATTTTACTTTTATTAATATTCTCTTAGAAACATTACATATGTTTATAATAATTTGACTCAATCCTAGGAAAATGTAGCTAATTAATATTTACATATATAAGTATATATGGTCACTAATTTATATAGTATATTACATGCATGTATATTTATATTTGTTAAAATTATAAATTAATATTGATATATTTCTTATAACTATCCTTTCCAAGCCTTCCTCAAGTATTTATTTTCTAATAAATGTACATATTTTTGTAAGTACTACTGGATATACTATCTACTTAATATTTTTAATAATGAGAGAAACTGAATACACTTTAATATTTCATTTCAATGGTTAAGAATAAAGTCCTTTTGAAATATATGTATATTACTACCAGATCAATAATATAGACATTTAATTTTTTTATTGTTATCTGTTTCAGAGACAGGAAGGGAGAGGGAGAGGGAGAGAGAGAGAGAAACATCAGTGCTGAGAGAATCATTGATCAGCTGCCTGCAGCACACTGGGGACTGAGCCTGCATCTTGGACACAGACTGGGAATGAACCTAGATCTCCTGGTTCATGGGTTGATGCTCAACCACTGAGCACCACTGGCTGAGCAGAATGTAGACTTTTTTAATGTTTTTTATTGATTAAAGAGAGGGAACATTGATGAGAATCATTTATTGGCTACCTCTTGCACAACACACACTGGGGATTGAGACCCAACCCTGGCATGTGCCCTGACCAGGAATCCAACTATGATCTCCTGGTCCAAGCTAAACCACTATCCACACTGGCCTAGTAACATTTTTATCTTTTGGTTTGTCATGTAGGATTGCTGAAGAGCATCAACATTTTTAATCAATGTATATTTTCAGATGAAATGGTATTTAATTTCTCAGGAAAAATATATTTCCCTAGAATAAGTGTAAATTGCAAAGCGTTCTCAAATGTAACGCAAGTTCTATGATTAGATTTAGTACAAAAAAAAAACAAACCACAAGTTTCAATTTAAAAACCAGCTGTATATACATGTATACAAAATTGCATATGTATTTGTCTAACAGTATTAGGAACAACTTTCAGAAACTATCAAAGCTTTGAAAATCCCATTTAACTCAGAATGTCTGCTTTGGCTTAACAGAGATATTTAAATAGTATCCTCTCTACTTCCTTTCTTAATATTCTCCATCGCACCTAGCGAAAATTTTGTCATCTAAATACAGCAAATATGTTCTACTGCAGCACAAATGTAGTGTGCATGAAATTCCAACAAAAAAAGGAATGACATATAAATTGGAATACCCTATCTACTCTCATGCTGTTTACCTGACTGCTGTATTTCTTTTAGGAGAAGTTTCTTTGAACATAATGAAGATTAGTTGTAAGGGTTTTAAATGTTAATCTCCATAGTCCTTTCTTAACATCTGTTCCAACTGGTGACTATTGTGCTCAATGAGTAATTAGTAAGAGAATACAGATACTTGAAATAGGAATCTTATTTCCTTGCCAGCCATTTAACAGATTTATGAATATACCACTTATTTATCTATCTCACAAAGCTAGTCAGGAAAAATTTAAATTCAGGATTACTCTCCCAAGGAAAATGTGTGCCCAGATGAAAGAGACATGCTGTATTGGAAAATGTTACACTTAAATTATCTATATTACCTTTTAGGTAAGGGTGAAACCATAATACATGTGGACCCACCTCATTATGCTACAGATCTTTCATTTAAATTGTGTTTTCCTCTCCGGTTTTTAATGACTAAAACATGACAACCTTTCTCATCCTGCTTTCTGTCCATCTCTCCGACAAAATCTCCCGCACACCCGTCATTCCCTCTGGTATTTAATGAGCTAAAAACAGTAACAGTTAGGCGGTGGTAGCTGGTATTTATACAAACTATTCCATACATTGTTTTCCAACCCAAAGCAAGGAAGTATTTTATAAAATATCTATTTTCTTCTAAACATAAATTCTTCCAGATAGGGTTTTGCTCAATCATGCTATACAGCATCAAGTAATCCCAGGCATAGATAGAAATGCGAGCAAGGAGGATAAGAGAAACAAACACAAATATAAAACCACCCCCTATGCTGTTGGATTTCATTCTAGTCAGGCGCTTTGATGTGGGCTGAAATGAAACTATTTCAGAATTTTATATTAAAGCAGGCTGGCTGCTCATCCTTACTGAAAACAGCTAAGGGATAGGCAAAAGCAGGTTGACTTGCTGCAACTTGAAACTCATTATTGCCATGCACCATCCCTGATTTTACTGTGAGAAAACCATGCTAATGAAGGTCTTAGGTGACAGGGAGCCAATCAGCAGCTGATAGTCTCTGAGTCACAGTTTTATCTGCTTTCTTTGAAATATCCATCCTTAGCAGAGAAACTATGTGTGAGTATAAAATACTGTCTGTCTATTATTACCAGCACTGGAAAAGCAACACACATTCCATGTCTTATGGGGAATGATTGGAAAGCAGCATCCTCTCATTACAGTATATAAAATAATCTAGAACTTCCAACACAAAAGAGAAAGGAGCGGGAAAGGGTATGACTAGCTAAAGCTACCAAGTGATATCTGGTTAGTCCCGTGACTCTCCTAGTTTTCCTCTCTCCTGCAACTCAGAACAAAGACAGACTTGTTGGCTGCATGCCCCACACCCTGGCAGAATCTTGATCAGTCTTAGGGCAAGCAGTGACTGCTCTGAACTCAGAGAGCGCCCGTCACCATGGCAGCGTTCTCTCTCTGCGTGTGTCTTGGTATCTCTTATCTCGGCCTACAGACATGGCCCCTGCTGGCCAGAAGAGCATTGCCATCAGACACAAGCAAGCTGATCTCTCTTTACCGGTATGCCCCGGGGCATGGCTCGCAAAGAAGAGAGAGAAGGAGATAACGGTACCCGCATGAAGGAGAGGTCCCGGTTGTGCTCGATGCTGGTTATCTCCAGGTTGCCCATGACGACCTCGCAGTTCTCATAGTACTTGCGCAGGGCTCGGTACTGCTGCTCCAGGTCCGAGAGGGAGCTCAGCTTGTTCTCTGTTCCTGCGCACACTGCCAAGACAAGAAGATGCATGGAGAGTTACATAACCCTCAGAGGACATGCCAGTACCATCTCCCTCAAGTTCGTATTCCACACACCACCGCAATGCCCCCAAGGAAAAGATGAAAATGTCATGAAGACCCATAACCCGCACACATGTGCCTTTATGCTTCCAGCTTTATTGAGATACAACATTGTGTAAGTATAAGGTGCGCAGCATGTGGATTCGATACATTTATAGATACCTTGCAAATGTATTATCAATAGCTAGCTGTCATCTCCATCACCTCGCTCATTACTATGTCTTTCTTGTGGTGAGAACATGTAAAATGTACTCATAGCAACTTTCAAGTAAATAATATGATATTGTTACTTATAACCGCCATGCTGCACAATAGATGCCCAGAACAGATTCATCTTATAACTGGAAGTGTATACTCTGACATATCCCCCACTTCCCCTATCCCCATAGCCCCTGGAAACCACCATTTTTCTCTCTGTTTTTATGAATCGGCTTTCTTTCATTCCACATATAAGTAAAATTACATATTTTCATTCATAAATTGCATGGGTTAATGACAGAGAGTAAGAAGCCTTGGGTTCCACAGAAACACGTAGCAAGGAGATAAATTTAAATAATCACACTTCTAATGAGCACACGAAGAATGTAAATACATTTAATTTCATTTAAACAAGAATTTCTTTTGGACTTATAATTCACCCTGTTTTCTAACAGGATATAATACATTCTATAAATGGACATGAAAAGATGGTGAAAATAACATGTTTTCCAATTTTAATGTATCTTTATTGTTGAAAGTATTACAGATGTCTTCTTTCCCCCCCCCCCATTGATCCATTCCAACCCCAACCACCCCTCCTAGGCCTCCATCACACTAGTATCTGTGACCATGAGTTATGACATTCCCTATTGCAAAATAAGCTGAATACAATTTTTACCTAATTAACTCTTGGGTTTTTAAATACTCAAATACTACTTTTTAAAATACAAATAATAAACAGCTTGGATTTAAATACTTATAAGCATACACTACAAAAATGATTGTAAAATAAAAGTTAACCTTTTTTATATAAGCAGGGTCATTACTACATATATTTATCAATGTGCTGAGATATATAATGGACTGCTAATAAATGAACTTCGTTTGCCATAATTGGGGGCACGGCTATTGAAACTGTTCAAATGGAAGCACTTGAGTGTACAAACATGTTTTTGGTTGTGTGTGTGTTGACATCTTTTCTGTCCTCTAGAAGTCAGAGTTTTAATGATGACTTCTCGTGGCTTATATACTTGCCTGAACAAAATCTATACCATTGAATGTGCCAATTTGAATCTTTAATGAACTGAAAAACTCTATTATGGATCTTATAATAATAATAATAATAATAATCATATTGATAATAATAATAATAAAAATATGTAAAGTTTAAAAAATAGTGAATAAATCTTCTTTGAATAAGTTAGATAATACTAGAGGCCTGGTGCACAGATTCTTGCACTTGTGGGGTTTCTCAGCACGGCCCTTGGGGATTGGCCTGAAATCAGCAGTCCAATGCTGCCTACTGCTCCTATCTGTCGCTCCCGCTCACCCTGGCCCATCATGCGTCTACCATGGGCTTGTACCCCGTGTCAGCCCTGATTAGGAGAGGCTCAAGCCGCCACCATGGCACTCTCCGCCCATGAGCCCTGCATCTGGCGCCCTTTGGTCAGCTGAGTGAAGCACACTGACCACCAGGAGTCAGCTCCTGAGCTGAGCATCCGCCCCCTGGTGGTCAGTGCACATCATAGCAACCGGTCAAACAGTCATTCAGTAACTTAGGCATATATATATATATATATATATATATATATATATATATGAAATTTAAGGCATGCTGTAAAGTGTGAACTTTGAAGACACTAGAAACAGAACCTGGTAACCATGTCATATACACATTTGTGTGTCATGTACACAGAAATGACAAAATAGTCATGATCCTATGTGGTGTTCAATGGAATGGGGTTTAGTACAGAAAGAAAAAAACAATCTAAGTGGGCATATTTTAATAATTAAGGCCACCTTAAGGCCTACTTTTGCCTATTGACACATTTAAAATAACAAAAGTTAGATCCAAAATTCGAAAAGTAATGCAAACATTGAATTCCATTATAAGCACATTATAAAAATAAAACACAACCTTTTCTTGCTTAGATTTCTTTCTTTTTAAAAAAAAATATATTTTATTGATTTTTTACAGAGAGGAAGGGAGAGAGATAGGGAGCTAGAAACTTCGATGAAAGAGAAACATCAACCAGCTGCCTCTTGCACACCCCCTACCGGGGATGTGCCCGCAACCTATGTACATGCCCTTGACCAGAATCGAACCTGGGACCTTTCAGTCCGCAGACCGCTGCTCTACCACTGAGCCAAACTGGCTTCGGTTCTTGCTTGGATTTCTAAAGCTCACCAAGCAGTACATTTTCTAGAAATACTCTTTTAATAGTGAAATCTGGTCCCTCTAAAAGATTTATTGAAGTCCTAACCCCTGGCACTTGTAAATGTGACCTTGTTTGAAATAGGGCCTGTGTAGATGTAATCAAGTTAAAATTATGATATTAGGGTGGACCCTAATCCAATATGATTCATGTCATTCGAAGAAGAGCAAAGCACCATGTGAATATGTAGGGAGAAAGCCACGAGGACACAGAAGCAAAGATGGGGGTGATGCAGCTACAATCTAAGAATGCCAAGAATTAATGGTCATCACCAGAAGCAAGGAAAAGGCAAAGACAGATTCCACCCTGAATCTCAGAGGGAGCAAGACCCTACTGGCCTCTGGAATTGTGAAAGAATAAACTACTTGCTTTAAGCCACTTAAATTAGAATACATGATTTTCATTTTATTACTCTCAGCACTTTGTTATAGTAGCCCTAGAAAACCAATACATAATCTTCAAACTGTTCCTCATTGAAATCTCACATTTAAAGAAATTGTCAAGATCACCTCCTCTCTCCAGGGCCCTAGAGCTGATCACCTCCTAACCAGTGTTTCCCAAACTTTTGACATATGTGTACCCCTTCTATAATTTCCATAATGCTGGGTACCCCTTGTACTCATAAGAATGTAGAATTAGGCGCAGCTATGCACGGTGCAGTGCATATCCTCACCACACTCCGGTTCAACGCGTACCCCCACCAAACTCTTCCCGTACCCCTAGGGGTACGTGTACCACACTTTGGGAAACAAAATCCATTCTCCCTTTCTCCCTTCTGAATGCCAAGTCCCTCGCACAGCAGGATGGAATTCATTTATTGTTTCTGAGAATGTAGATTTTGTAGAGTGATAAGATTGGACACAAAGACATCTAGAATCCTCAACATCCATTCTCCTCTTCCTTCACAGGCTGAACAATATTAGCCTCGCATGTTGCCAACCCAAATAAAGATGGCATTTCTCTGCTCATCTTGGAGGTAAGATTTGCAAGGGACTAAGTTAGGGCATATTCTATGATTCCTTCCTAGAACTTTATTTAAAACTTGGTTGGAGCCTGACACTGCCTTCTTTCTTCTTCACCTCTTTCTCCAATCTGCTGGCTGACATAGAAATGTGGGAGCTCAAACATGAACCATCACCTTGGACCACAGGGATGAGAGATATGCCTCAGAGCATGGATGGGAACCTTTCTTCTGCCAAGAGCCATTTGGATATCCATAACATCAGTCAATTCATATAAATGTATGTTGTTGTGAACAAAGCTCCTAGATTTATTGAATTTCCACCATGCAATACCTTGGCATGGTCACACCAAATGACTTTTTGGGCTTTTTATGGCATTTGGGCCAGACATTCCCCACCGCTGCCTTAGAAGACTGCGAAATGAGCTAAAAACAATCAGGGTTTTCGTAAAATGGAGATTTTACATCGTTTTATTATCATTCACGTCATGATAATGGTGAGTTTCGGTCCTAGCTGCTGCAATAGTATACAAAGACATGATTCAAGTCTAGTTACATTTTATTGTTTAGACCTTAAGAAATGTTAGCAATTCTGTCTGGTTGTTTGACTGAATTTTTTCAAGTCATAATGAAACAAAAATCATTGTGAAAGTTTTCATTGTTACTAAAACCAACCAACACCAGAAGTGAATTTCTATCGGTAACTACAATAATATTCAACACAAGGCGGACAACAAAAACAACCGATTTGTGTACACAGTCTTTGTAATCAAGATCAAAGTCCAGCTTCCCCCCCAACCCATTCTAGAGACGAAGAAACATAATAATCCATGATTTTCATGCTATGACTCTCAGCAAATTTATAACAAAATATTTGTAAACCCGCTAAATGGCTGTAGAAAAAGAGCTACTATTATATAGTTCATGAGATATAGATTTTAATTATTTCAAATGTATCTGAAGACAAGCTTATATTTAAATGCAATTTCTGATGGGAGTAATTAAGCATCACTTAATTAACTTGCTGTGACATTTCTAAACTCTACACAATGACACATTGCAAATTATGTACAACCTGTGTTCTACAAGTTTCTTTCAATTGGAAATAAAACCCTTAGTTTAACATTAACATATTAAAAAATAAATATGTAAACACCTAAATGAAAAATTTTCTAAAATATATAGTATATTCCTTTCTATGAAATCCTAAACAAATTTTGAGAGAAAGATCTATTAATATAATAATAATGTATTTTTGCATGTGTCTCATCCTGAATATATGAGGTACTTAATAAATTATTATTAATTTGTATTACAAAAATATGCTTATATAAGAAACCCTCAAAATCTGTAAACTCTTTTAAGACAGGTGTAATATTTTAATCATTATTTTGAATGTGTTGAGCTTTTCAAAAAATTATTTTTATAATGCCCATTTAATTGCTATAACTCATATCCAGATAATAACCCTCAATTCAGAACAGAGTCCATTGTTCAATCAATGATCAGCTGTCTTTTGTATATACAATACAATAAATATTTTTCAACAACAA